CTAACGGAAAGCGAGAAGAAGTACAGTACGATCGAGAGAGTGTCTCGCGGTAGTTTGGGCCGTCCGAAAGTTCTTGATATTCCTTTATGGAACAGAGTTTACATTGCAAACCGACCATCAGCCTTTGGTCTATTTGAAGACAGCGAAGTTTCTCAACGACAGAGTTATGAGATGGGCGATGTTCTTGCAAAACTATGGTATTAAGATTGAGTCTATCAAAGGAGTCGACAACGTTGGTGCCGACTACCTCAGTAGAGTTCATTAGAGACTTGTTATAAACTTGATATACATTCAAGAGACGGTGTTTGATACTCATTGGAAAAGATTTGCGTTTTGTTATGAAATTTTGTAAATTTCTCAAAAAAGGGGGTCGTGTCACAAATCTTTAGTCTCAATTGAAAAACTAACGCTAGGGGGAGCTGTGTAGCTCTGCAGGGGGGAAGGACATTTTGATTGGGGAAGAACCAAGATGGCTGACTTAACATAAAAGTTTATATTTTTCCGTTATTTATTAAAATTTATAAAAGTACGTCGTAGAGTAGTAGTCCTGTAACGTGACCAAGACCGGTTTCTCAAGAATTCCGTGACAGTTATCGATGACTTAAAAGGAGAAATTTACATGTATGTGGACGATACCACACTTTATGTCATTGCACCAAATCACGATTTGGTGGCAAATATTCTGAACAGAATCTTAGGCAAACTTTGCAAATGGTGCTGCGAAAATCGATTGACGCCGCATCCTGACAAAACAGAGTTCATGCTAATGAGTCGAAGGAAGTTTATTGGTCCACTTCAATGCATCAAATTAGGAGGAAACCAGCTAAAACGAGTCGTGTCGACCAGATGTTTAGGGCTGCAAATTGAATGTAATCTGGGCTGGAGCAGTCATGTCTTGGATTTAATTCTGTCATTTAGTCAAAAACTCAATCTACTGAAATCTTTGTACTTCTTGCCAATTAATGCAAAGCTAGACTTTTATTTCAAAGTTGTGTTACCTTCCATCACGTACGGAATTTTGATATGGGGTTCATGTGGAAAGGTTTAACTTAATGTTTAAGTTTCCTGTTTAAGAAATAGAAAACATACAAATCTTCTCATTTCATGGGAATATCCTGAGTCTGCAATCACGGCTTCAATTTTTGAATTGCAGAATAATTATATGCATTATCTAGTGTATATAAGATATCTATGCCTTTTTCGCAATTTGAAAGCATATTTTTATGGGGTACACAGCATTTATGGACAACCCACAGGAAGAATATCAAATTATAATGACTCAAGTAACTAACAATCGAATGAAAAGCACCAAGGTTGTTTGACACTTGTATCGAGTATGGCACACTGTATGAACAGATCAAGCCAAAGCGAGTCTGAAATTTACCTAGAAGATTCTGAAAATGAAGACTATAATCTTGAAGGTCCTGTTCCTGTGTTAATATCTCATCACACATCAAAGTGTGCTCAGAAATAAGAGCAAAGATTTTGGATGAACATACTTCATCCCATATTCCAAAACTATTTAGGAGATCATATTCTGTTTCAATATATTCCACTTCCATGCTTCACAATATTATCAGCTAGATCCTTATCAATTAACATGGAATGAAGCAAAGAACAATCCAATGTTGATTCAGTTTGATAATCAGACAAAACCATGTTGATCAAGCTCTCAAAAACTGTGTCTTCATCTAACAGACACCTGACCTTCTTAACTATGTTTATGGTACCTACTGCATTTTCATACTCCCCATCACATACAGAGCAGCATTTATTTTGTTTTGTAATGCTAAATCCAAAGTAATCCAATAATTTGAAATAATTAAATGAGGGCGAAGCCTCTGACAAAATCTCGACGAAGCGAGAGGTTTTGAAAATAAAAAATTTTGAGGCCAAAGCCTCAACAGGGATCACAGCGAAGTGCAATCCGTATAACAACAAATATTGAGGGCGAAGCCTCGACCCACCACAAAGGGTGATATAGTTGTATTTTAACATAAACAAGTAATGGTATATAAATGAGGATAAGAAAAATAAAAATGCGACCACCTGTGTGCTAAGCACAGCGTGAAAGAAACTGAATGGCCTTGAGGATGGCGCCCAGATAACTTCTATACAAAGTATATTGAGCTCTGTGGGTGTAATGGACGCCATCGGACAGAAAAGGAGAAATGGTTGGTTGAGTAAAGCCTTTATGTCTCCAACAGAAGACATTGTGCTTATCTTCTAACACAACCGTAAGGTACTGGTTCAAGATCGCAACCTCATTAAATTTTGAAGAAGAGGCCCGATTGGTTACCAAACACACGCCAACAACTCTGACGGATGGAACCCCGAGCAACATTCACTCTTGACGCCTCGGTGGACTTTCGAAATGACTATCTGATTGTAGTTTCAGCAGTTTTAGTTTTTCATTCCTTTCTTTGGAGGGTCCAGTTACAGCGATTCTAATCTAGCCTTGTCAGCATTCGTGTCAAACCAAAACGATATCCTGAAATTATATTCAATCGGACGGAATGTACGATTTACTTGTAATATTGTGAAATTAATATATATACATATACATACATACATATACATACATATACACACACACCAATACTCGCCATTACCAACTTATGAGGACACTAACTTGTGGGGACACTGCTTTTGATAATAAGTGTGGATTTCAAACTTTGGGAGCAAGTTACTAATGTCGTTTTACTTTCAGGCGTAGCATAAAATTGTGCTTTTATCTGCATTTTGCACACACAGAATTATGGGGACATTTATGTCCAGACTTGTGGGGACATAGTGTGTACCAACTTGTGGGGACAGTGGTGTATTTAAAATTGTGGGGACACTTCGTTTGTTGCTTTCCGAGCCATTCGTGTTTTTGGAAACTTGTGGGGACAGTTTTGCGTTCTATGTGTACTACCTACTGCAAGTGCAGTTGCCTATTATACCGGTTTAATTTTTATTTTTAGTGATAAATATTACATGAGACTCGGTCACCAATTTAGATCCTGGACAGTATTTTCCCAGTAGTATTATATTTTAATATTTTTTAAGACAAAAGATTCTTGTAGAGCAATAGAAAATCGCCTGGATGTGTATTGAATTAGCCTTTCTCATGCAAATATCCGCCATTTCTGGATGGCTACTCTCGTTAAAAAATGCAGACAATTAAAATGATGTGAAAAGCAATTTTTCAAAATAAACTAACCTAACCATTTACAAAGCAAATTTACCATCATTCGTCCAAAAAATTATAAAAAGTTGCTGTTATGTAGACTTGTCTCACAGACTTGGCTGAAATATCAATCCATCAAGATACACAAATATAGTCTCCCCACAAGTCTAGTATGCAATCACATTCATGTCCCCACATGTCAGGAAATATAAATGCATCAAGATACATTAATGTCCCCATAAGTCTAGTTTGCAGTCACGTTCATGTCTCCAGAAGTCAGGGAATATAAATGCATCATTCCATCAAGATACACAACTATAATGTCCCCACAAGTCTAGTGTGCAATCACATTCATGTCCCCATAAGTCAGGGAATATATAAATCATAGATATAGGAGATCTAGATTGCTAACGCATACCTAGCGCAGGCTGGGCCTACATGATAAATCCAAGATGGCGGTACAACAGGGCAAAAAGACTATAGATTCTATTACGAAAATCAGGATTTTTGCAGTTTTTGCCGTCACATTGTTTCGAAACTTATTCGGTCAAGTTTTATGGTAAAGGGAAACTTACCGCGAAGATTTTGAGCATATATATGATTGAATTGGATGAAAACTCACAAAATTATCCATCAATAAAAGTTTGTGTGAAATGGTCACTTGGTCAGTTTGAGCATTTCATTGCCAGAAATACTGTGCTATGTTGACATCTAGCCTTGTGAATGGTGTTTTATACTTGCAACAAACATTGTGAAAGATGTAGAGAAATAGCATGAGAATTAATTGTGGTAGTCGTATTCGTTCAGGTCAAGAATGCCCAAGACTTGGAATTATGAAATGGACATATTGTATTTATACTGTCCAGTCAAGATTGTTTAGTGTAGTTTGGATGGATTTATATTTTTACATCTTTTATAGATCGGTATCCGGTAGCTGATATTTTGGGATAAAAATCCATGCTTATGACAGACTGACAGTAACTATATTCTTTTTGAATATAAAATTATAATTGTGTTATTGTTCCTGTCATTTAGTTAATGACCACATTTTTTTGGATTTTTCAGTATGTATAATACTTAACTGGAATTGTATTTTATAAACATTTGAACTGGCATTTTATATTTTAATTATTGTAAATATATGATCTAGGGAATAGGGGCCTTAAATGATAGCCATGTGGTTTCTGTTAGGTCCCTAGCCAGCTAGCTCCAATTCTTGTAATTAACTGTGGCAATTGTGTTTTGACGTTAAAACCAATCTTACGTTCACAAAAGCGGGAAGTATATGATCCTAAACTATAGATTTCACGTTTAAACAGTATAAAACACCATTCACGAGGCTAGATGTTAACATAGCACAGTATTTCTGGCAATGAAACGCTCGAACTGACCAAGTGACCATTTCATACGAACTTTTATCGATGGATAATTTTGCGAGTTTTCATCCAATTCAATCATATATATGCTCAAAATCTTCGCGGTAAGTTTCTCTTTACCATAAAACTTGACCGAATAAGTTTCGAAACAATGCAACGGCAAAAACTGCAAAAATCCTGATTTTCGTAATAGAATCTATAGTCTTTTTGCCCTGTTGTACCGCCATCTTAGATTTATCATGTAGGCCCCGCCTGTGCTACGTATGCGTTAGCAATCTAGATCTCCTATATCTATGATATAAATGCATCAAGGCATATATAATGTTCCCACAAGTCTAGTGTGCAATCACATTCATGTCCTCACAAGTCAAGAAATAGTGTAAATACATAAATATACACTATATAATCTCCCCACAAGTATAGTGTGCAATCACATTCATGTCCCCACTAGTCAGGAAATAGTGTAAGTAGCCTATGTTAATAAACACTAATATACAATGTCCCCATAAGTATGGGTTGCAATCACTTTCATGTCCCCACTAGTCAGGAAATAGTGTATGTAGCCTACATCAATATACACTAATATACAATGTCCCCATATAAATCAGGAAATATAAATGCATCAAGGATAAACAAATGGCACCAGTGAAATGTGGATGGGATTTGGCAAATGTAAATAAAAGTTTGTACTGACTTTATATAACAAGAATAACAGTCCAAGCAAACGATGTCAGAACGAACCAACAAAGTGCAGCAAAAACAAAAAAATTGCATAATGGTTAGGTTGAAAGTTGAAAAATCGTTTTATTATGACATTAATTAGTCTCCATCGCAGTCGTTCTTTGTGTCGTTGTTTGAGAGCTTAAGTTTCGCATTTGGAGGGCAATATTTACGGCAAACAGCAAGAATGCATGATCATGACACAAATTTAAGCTAAAAAATATGTCTACCTCGCATTTGTTGTTTGTCGCAAATGCGAAACTTAAGCCTTCTGCAGCTAAGCCTGGTTTCCGTAACGATCGTAAAGCAATCAGTCACGAGCTTTCCCAGCCAAAATACAACATTTTTAAAATTGAAAATATGCTGAGTGATTATAACTAGAGAATACCCAGGATTTATATGTGGTTTAATGGTATATAGAATAAACTGTTATAAACTGGCTGTTGAGATTTTTACTACCATTATGACTAATAACATATATTATTCAAACCGGGCTACTCCTCCTCACGAGTGGTTGCTTGTCTGCAAGGACATGTGCTTTTCATTTTTTCAGCCTGGCTGATCACCGCACGTCTTGTAAAACATTTTGGAAACATTTTTCATTCACTCTGTAATATCATAGCTACTTCGAAATCCTTTGTTTTGCAAGGAACGATTAATAATAATTTACCTCATTGCTAAAACATGAGGGACAATTAGAAACTAATCATCCCACGGGAGGATTAGTTACTCATCCTTTATAAGTAACCTCTTAAGGCGGTTTTCCAGTCCTCGCACGCAGCTCGCTGCGAGTGCATGCATCTAATTAAAATTAATGGTTTAGCATTGTGATTGGATGAAAGTGTTCATGCATCACTCGCGGCTTCGTGCGATGACTGGAAATCTGCCTTTATGCAGGGTGAGTAAAAAAACTGACACCTATGCGGCTAATTTGAATATCAAACGTATCAGTTTTTTACTCACCCTGTACAGGGTGTCCCCAAAAATGTACCCCTCTATACAGAGTGTCCCAAAAAAGAGAAAACTATTGAAATCACCGATAACAATTTAATTGTTAGAATTTAAATGCCTTAGCCCTCTGTTGGTTCCCACAAGTGCATAAATTATTGACATATTTATGCATAAAGGGAGCTATTTAAGAAGCTGCTTTAAATTCCCAAGAGCAGAAAATCACACACTTTACAAAGAGATGTTCTTAACTAAATTACATGCACCTTGTCAATATTTTACGCATCATTACGTTCAGCTTTTTGCTGGGGCATTCAATTTTAACAATAAGTGATTTCAATAGTTTTCGTTTTTTGCGGGACACCCTGTAGAGTCAGATTTTCATTGATGTAAAACGTGTATTGTTACACCTTTGGGAGTTTATTATAGTTATGGTCTCTAAAACGAACAGTAACACAAAAATGTAAAATTACAAATTTAATCCGTCATTTCGCTAAAGAATGTATTTAGATAATAGATAATAAGTTTAAAACCTCATTACGCTTCATTATCTTCATATCATGTTTGAAATTTGAATTGCATTCTATGCGACCAAAATTTGATGTATAAAATAGGCCTCAGAGACTACTCACAAAGAAAACCTTGAAATAACTATATCACCTCCATCTCCGAAGCTGCCTCATTGCAGTTTTAAAGAATTTCAACCACCCAATGAGAGCTCTGTGCAACAAATCATCAAGTCTCTGTCTACGAAGACCTGTTCGTTAGATCCTATCCCTACTCATGTGCTTAAGAATCATATAGAATCCTTGACTCCTATATTTACAGATATAGTTAAAAACTCACTCTCAGAAGGAGTATTTCCAAACACACTAAAGATATCTCATCTTAGCCCACGTCTGAAGAAGCCAGACCTTGATAAAGATCTATTTCCAAACTTTAGACCGATCGCCAACATAGCTATTCTTAGCAAAGTCTTAGAGAAAACAGTTGCAGTTCAAACACAAGATTTCCAGAATTCAAATAACCTTTATCCTTCTTTCCAATCAGCTTATCAAAAATTCCATTCTACAGAGACAGCGTTACTGAAAGTAACTAATGACATCTTAAGAACCCTTGACAATCATCAGGATGTCATTCTTGTAATGCTGGATCTACCTTAGATCTACCTTAGATCACGATATATTATTGGCAAGACTTGAATCATATTTTGGATTTTTGAATACAGTAATAAAATGGTTTAAATCATATCTCACTGGACATTCGCAATCTGTTGTAATTGGTGTTGTTGTGTCCACATTAAGACATCTTGAATATGGCATGCCACATGTTCAGTCTTAGGCCCCTTGCTATTTACACTCTACATAGCTCCACGTGAAGACGTCATATCGAAATACGACCTGGACTTCATGTTTTATGCTGATGATTCCGATCTGTATGTCGCTATAAATCCTAATAATCCATTGACGTCCTATGAAACACTTAGCGATTGTATAAATGAAGTTATCTTGTGGAACACCAGAAATATGCTACTTTGTAACCCTGGAAAAACTGAAGTTCTTCATCTCTCATCTCGGTTTAAAAAACATCAAAATCTACAAGAAAATTTCTCATTTGCCAACACTACTGTCCAAGTGTCGGATAAAGTGGTCAACTTAGGAAATGTACTTGACAAGAACATGACTTTATCCAGCCATATAAATGAGATGTGTAAGAAAGCCATTCTAAACATAAAATCTATTGGCCGGATAAGAAAATATCTGTATAAAGAAGACCTAAAAGGACTTGTAAACGCACTGGTAATTTCTCGTCTTGACTATGCAAACAGTATATTGTATGGACTCCCCAAGTACGAGCTGGACAAATTGCAACGAGTCCAGAATGCAGCAGCCCGGCTAATTACAGGGAAAAAGAAATCTGATCATATAACACCCGTACTGAAAGAATTACATTGGTTACCGATTAAATATCGAATAAATTTTAAAATAATTCTCCTAGTTTACAAGTCACTACATAACCTAGCTCCAGATTATCTTAAAAACATTATTGAAGAAAGATGTCCTACACATACACTTCGATCCTCCCGATGTTCACTGCTTTCCACTCCAAAGATATACACCACGACATATGGAAAGCATGCTTTTTCTCATGCTGCCCCGGAACATTGGAACTCTTTGCCAAAATACATTAAATCCGCTGAGTCTATTTTAGAATTTAAATCTTTTTTGAAGACTTATTTGTTTAAGGAGGCATATGCTTGCTAACATTATATCTAATATATTATATACGAAAGTACTTTGTTCCACTAAATCTATTTTATCTGTAATATAAGTTTAAATTTTAACTAATATATAATGTAAATATAAACAATTTCAGTAAATTTAAATAGTTTTAAGCCATTGTAAGCGCATTGAGATTTTGAAATGCGCATAAGAACATTATTATTATTATTATTATAAGCAGCCACTAGTGCGGAGGGATAAAAAGTAAACTAGAAATTAAACGGGCTGCTAGGCAGACTAAACATTTATTAATGATTTAAATAACTATATAAAAAATATATATTTTCCTAATGGATACTTAACAATGTATATAGTACTTAGAAAAGCTGTATATTTTTAATTACGAACTATGTATATACAGTGTAATATAAAAAACATACAGTTTTAAAATGATTGCAAAATTATCAATCCGCTATTTTTATATAAAATGTACTATAAATATAGTTTAGATAGAGGCTGGTGGGTTAATATTTAAATTTTAACTTGTCACAAAAATAGCAAATTGGACATAACTTCACTGAACTGTGGAATCGCATAAAAAAATTGTATCGCCACCACTCCCAGAAACGTCTACGACTGGATCCAGTCTATTCCTATAGCCATCTATTTTTATTATTTTTTTAATATTCAGCAGTTTTTCACTAAGAGCTAGTCAAAATTTACCAAAACCTAGCAGGCGTTTAGTGCGGGCTGAAGAAGCAGCTAAAGCAAACCTGCCATTTTACTTTCATCCAATCACAATGCCAAACTGTTAATTTTAATTAGATGCAAGAACTCGCAGCGAGCTGCGAGGAGCTTCGTGCAAGGACTGGAAAATCGCCTTTAGGCTGGACCGCATAAACATGTTTTTGCAGGTTTACAATACTAATTTTAAACAGACAATCAGCGTTTAATTATAATTGTTACCAAGAACCGCATTGGCTGTTCAAAATTAGAATGATTGTAAACATGCAAAAATATGAGTTCTGAGGTCGTAAACAGTTCGTGAAGCAAGTGGCGGCGATACAAATTTTTCATGTAATTTCACACTTCGGTAAGTTTAATTCTTTCCAGCATATTCGTTATAATGAAACTTTGTTTGGCATATGACTAGTATTTCAGTGAAACATTGAACAATCACAATCATATTTGCTAAATTAATTGGCTTTATTACAACCTGATTTAACTCTGACTTGCAAGATGATATATAGGTGTTGATTGATAGTAATCGAACAATGAACAATAACAATATAGTGAATGAGTTTGGCTCAGAACTAGGTTGGTGTCTGCATGACAGCAGTGCGTGTTTTCAAGCTGTCGAGACTCACTCTTCAGGTATTTAAATGATAATTTGTTTTATCGTTTATAAAATTATAATTTGTTTTTACCGACTAAAGTGTCACAAATGTGGTAAAAATACCTCAAGTATAAAGTTAATAAAGTATGACTGAAACCCATTAACCTATATTAAGTTTATCAAAAGTTTTAAATTACTCACACATGATAAACCGCATTTTTGTAATGACGTAAGAACGGCGCAATTAAAAATATACTTAATCGGAAAGACCAAACGTGTTATAAGTGGACTTGGCTTGCAAGTAACTATGTACGAAACAGCTTTAAAGAGTGTTATAGAAAAATTTAGGCAGCTGAGTCTTAGATGGGGCCTATATTACGAAGTTAGTCGACAAGCGTAAGATCCAGGCTAACGATAGACAATCGTTGCAAGAGTTGTCGTTTGACGTAATGAATTACGTAGCAACCTTCAAACAAATTGATCATTTAGCTGATGTTAATGCCACCGAGAACCATCGTAAAATTATAACGAGGTTACCTGATCATCGGATTGATGAATGGAAAGGTGTCAGATCTTAGACAAACCCATTTCTTGAGCAGAAATTCGGAATTCGGCCGAATTTGATCCTAATTTCAGGTAACCACGAGAGAAACGGCATCCACTCCACACAAAAAATTTAAGAAACCCCTCAATGTTAGCTGTGTGTGCTCAGAAGAATATCATGCTGTAGATTGTCCCACTTTTTCCAGTTTTTCTATCGATAAAAAATTTCGGCATGCTAAAGTTCAGCGATTGTGTTTTTCTTGCTTAAACCGGGGTCACATGACTAGCGACTGTAAGTCAAAAGTATGATACAATATGAATGAATGTTTTCGTTTTCATCATCAGCTGCTCCACTCAGACTCTTTCCCACCTCCAATGTCTTTAAGTGTAACAACATCTGCACTCGACAAACAAAGTATCATGCCTGTAGTGAGAGCGAAATTCAGGTCTGTGAATGGAAAAGTTTGTGCAATAGATCTGATCCTTTATGTACTGTATAGTCACTCCCATTTATAATATGAAGTTCGATAAGGTTTACCTTTCCATCCTGTTGCTAAAAGAACAACACTCGGGTGGCATGTCGACCCTAAGTTACTTGAACTTTACCAGAAAAATCAATTTAGAGAAATGCCACAATTTCGAGATATTGGGAGTGCAAGCACCTGACTGCAACTGTCCGTAAGAAACCATGTCCAGAGATAGAAAGAAAGCGATGGGAGATGTTTGAGTCTCGTGTGCATTGCTTGATCAAAGATATGTAATTGGTCTCCGATGGAAGAAAGATCCTGTACACCTACCGAATAATTACCCTGTGTCGAAGCGACGCCTCGGATCTTTAGAGAGAGGTTTAAAGGAAACTTGACCAAAGCAAAGAAATACAACGACGCAGTTTGTGAGTACAAAGCAAACAGATTGGCTCGACACGGAGATTGAGAATACGAAGGGATCTGTATATTATTTACTACACCATGGTATATATCACTCTGGACATAAAAGCACACCTTCACGAATTGTATTTGACCCAACGTGCTTCTACCAAGGATTTTCACTAAATTCATTCCTTTACAAAGCTGCATGCCTGATTGGAAGCTTGCTTGGCTTCCGCCTCTGTTTTCGAAAAGAAACAGTTACATTTTAATTAAAGATGTTTCTACAAGTTTTATTGCCCCAAAGCGACTGTCAGTTCACAGATTTCTGTGGAGAGGAATGGAAGTGACGTAAGAATGAACAACTTATATCCTCCTTTGAGTTACGTTTGGTAACAACAACAACAACATTTATTTGTGTCTATAAGCATTTTACAGTTTTTTTATCACACTCAGCAAGATATATTTAAAGACACCGGTTGCTTAATTAACCATAATGGGCTAACTAAATCCTTAAGCAACCGTGACAAACCTTGCCCAGATAAGGCGAGTTTTGTGATGTTAAGAGTGAATGTCAGTAAAAATCGAACATATGAGATATTTCGCTGCCATGACTGAAAAATCAATTTTGCTCAAATTTTGCCCAGATATACCTTATTATATCGGAAAATGCACCATATATTTTTTTAGGTCAAATGCTTTTTTAACTTTGAGAAAATGCCGTTTTAACACGACCCACCTGTTGTTACTTTTAAGAATAGAAATAATCGTAGATTTGGAGCACACTTATCTTACTTCATTTACGATACCCTCTTAACAAAACCAATTTTCACCATGCGATAAAGCTCCAAATCAATCATGCTTCTACTTGTTGGCTCTTTAATAAACAAGCTTTCAATTGACGTAAATACTTCTTTTGGCAATCACTGTCCAATATTGTCTACTTTTAATAGTGCTATTAACATACAAATCGATGAGCTGTTTAGGGTTTATATAATTTATATATAAATTTATTTATGTATAAATTTCCCAAAATTAGAACTTCAATTTTTGTTTTGTTCCAGTTTGATCCATATAATAATGTACATTTACATATCGACTATCGAGTATAAATGTTTACGAAGACATAAGTTAATTATTAAGCAGCTGTTAATAGAGTACGTGTGAAATGAACATTTATCCATAGAAGGATTTGT